TTATAACAAAGAATTCTTAAAAAGAACTTACGAAGTATAGATTTTCCAGTTACGAATAATCCACATATATATGTATATGTATGTGTGTTTTTTGATACGTCAGAAAGCTAAATTATTTTCACGTATAACATAATTTTTGTTTCAATGCAATGTTTTATATTTAAAATATAATTGTTGTAGTGTTAAAATATATCAAAAAGTTTCATTTTGTTAGAATTTAATATGTGAAAGCAAATATTACTTTAATGCGGCAGCTACCAAAAAGTTCGTTTTTGGTCCTCAATTAGGCACAATTCAATTTGATTATTCAGGAACCTTAACTCTTCGGTTACAATTGTGTGTGCCTCGCTGGTACCACTGTATGCATATTTTATAGAACGCAAGTGACTAATATCAGTAGCTCAATTACGATAATAAATAATTAATAATGACGATATTACGAATAATATGTTCATAATAATTTAAAGTAGTAATCCACACCTGGTACTGCAGCGTCAAGGAAAAATAATTATTTTGTTAAAAAATGTTTTGTCGCTGTACAATCTCGAAATTGCAATATTTTTTAACTACTTTGTACTATATAGACTGTGTAGACTGTAATTTAAGTTTTTATTACTTAACTCTTAACTTGAGAGAGTAAAAGACTCTTTTCTAATTTTATTCTCTCTTGTAATAAGAAAATAATGTCATTTGTTCGTTATGCAAATATATTCAAGAGAATATGATCATTAACTTTATTCTATTTTTGTTAAATGTATAATAATTTGTAATTGATAATTTTCTAAGAAATAAACACTCATGATAATAAAGTTTTTCATATATATTTTCTTATGTTTTTAAAAATATATTTTAACTAAAACTATAGTATTGATTATTCTTATGGGTTACTTACGATATCTAGGATTACAAAAAACAAGAGAAAAATAATTGAAATTACTTTAAGTTATTTGTAAATTTTGCTCACAAAGAAAAGTTGAAAAGCCAAAATAAAAATATGAAATACCAGAAAAATAATCTACATACTTACTGCGTTTGAAATGAGTATTTTAAATTTTATGAAGCATTTGCACTCCATATCATTAATACATATATGAGTTTCATGGAAGTATTTTTGAGAAGAAAACTTTTGAGAAAAATTTATTTGGAAAGTTAGTTAACCATGCGTCTCACATATCGGCCGTTACTGATAACATTACTCGATATAACACCGACCAGTACTCGTTTATAAAAGTTAAGATAAGATCATCTAAAAATAAGAATAAACATGTAGATGTCCCAGAAAAAAGACCTCTATGTAATATGAATGTAACGTTATAATATATAGATAATTATATTTATTTTATAAACAAATGAAGTTAAATCCGGACCTTTATGGTATAAATCAAATAGGTTAAACGAGAACGCCAAATCAATTCTTAGGACCGAGCAGGATAAAGGTAATCTAATAATTTAATAATGATTAAGGTTGTTTATGAAAACTTGTTTTCACTTAGTTGTTGAATTTTGTTAATTAATTTGTGTTCTGTGTTACATGTGTAATATAAAAAGAATTGAGTAAAATGTACTTGATGTTAGAAGAATAGAAGAAAATAGGAGAGGAATAATTTTTTTATTTTGCTTCCAATAGTTAAAATACGAAGATTAAATAATACAATCTCAGAAATATATCTTACATAGTTTTAATGTTTACAAAGCTAAATATTGTTTTCATTTTTACAAAAAATGTGGTATCTTACTGACGTATAATAAATATACAATTTTTATGGAAATATTTCTGAGAATTTAATTTTTGAGAAAAACTTATTAGGAAAATCAACTAGCCAAGGATCGTATACATCAGCTAGTATTGGTAATACTATTCGATATAAAGCCGGCCAATATTCGTTAATAAAATTCACGACAACATCATCTGAAAATAAAAATTGAATAAGAATATGTTCTAGAAAAAACATATCAATTTAAGAAAGCAATATAAATACAGTTAGATTATTAAAGTTACATAAATAATGTCTTTCGTTTCGTGATCTTATATTTTGTTGTAAAAATTGGTAAGAAATGTTAAATATACTAACAATAAAATAAAATATGATTACAACTTTTTAAGTAATATTTTTACAATAACTCTCCTCTTTTTTTAAATTAGTAATTGATTTTATATCGTCATTATTACTTGTGATAATAATATCAAGGTAGTCTGGAATTCTTTTCAAAGTTTGACATTTCAACAGTTAGCAGTTTTAACTTATTCAAGTATACAACATTTGGCAGTTTTAACTTATTCAAATATACAGACATTGCAATTTAATTATGTAATAATTTTATTAGTTATTTTTACTATTATTTTGGTGTACGAATATTTTTGTCTATGAATTACAGATAACTATGAATTACAGATTATTAACTTTTAATTAATTATTGCGAATAATAAAAATAACGAGATTTACATATATTTAAATAATAAATTATTCACCGTCTGCACTGATTGTAAGAAAAATATTCGGTTAGATATAATCAAATAATGCAAGTATGTACATAGCAATAAACGCATATATCTGATTAAATTGTACATTCGATAAAAAATATATGATCGATTTTTCGGTCAAATTTTATTGGTAACTGCATTTCATCGGATAAATTTTATTATCGGCTATATCCAAAAGTTAATCGGAAAACTTAATTGAAAAAATTAACTATTTGAAATACTATTTTATTTGGTTTATCCAATGGAAATTTTTCTTAGTGTGTTAGTAAATCTTATATGTACCAGAAAAATAGCACTAATATGAAATCATATTTTACTTAATTTAACACAACTTACTAAACTCTTTGCCTTGTTCTAACAAATTGTCGAAATATATTTTAAGTTTTCCAACTGACGGAGTGATACGGAAATGTTCTACAATCCATGTGTCGTTCACTACATGCCCTGTCATATCCCACGTTCCTCTGACTTCAGTCAGAGTTTCATTAAAATGACCTGTTATGTAAATTATATTTACAGTTATCTATATTTATATTTTTACAGTTTATTATATATTTTACAGTTATATATATCTATATTTATATTTATAGTTTGGTTATGGAATGAGCATGGAATATTTTAAGTGGAATGAAAATTGGAATATTTAGAAACAACTTCTTTAGTAGTGGCCAAATTATAAAACACTAATCACATATTTTTACATTAGAATTATATGGTAATATACATACATATTTTCACTACTACTACTACTACATACATATTTTTGTATATGTATGTTTATAAATTTACGTGACTATTAGAGATATCTTAACTGACTAATAATAAAATTGCAACCAATCAGATTTTAATAGAGAGAATTCATAGTTAATAATTACTTTTTAATAATCGTAAATGCTTATATTGATAAAAGACATTTTTGTTTTTGCAAGCTGAATAGAATTTATTATCTTACCTTTACCAGTAATTCTGAACACACTTAAAGTACTATTTGCTTGTACAGCACTTTCTACGTACAACCATGGTACTTCTGCGTCAATTTCCAAACGGAAAATGTCATCAAGAAAATGCGTTCTTATATCAGAAAAATGAGTCTTCGATAAACCAATAGCAGTCAGGTTTGACGCAGTTATTTCTCCATGTATCTCGCCTAAATTTAATACAGCTGTGGCACGTTCGAGAAATAATGGATCCAAAGCAGGAAAGTCAAATTCTGGAAGTCCTACGAATATGAATAAGTTGATATTAATATATATTTGAGAGTAATTCGATTAAAACAAAATTTACTTTTTTACTTTTAATACAATTTAAACGATTTATAAAATGAAAGTTTATAGTTTACTGCTACTATTGATTAATTAGATAAACATTTCTAACATCGTATTAATTTATCGTATAATAATACGATAATTCGTATAATAATACGAATACCTTTAACAAATCGTGGCCATGCTTCCTCTAAAGCGTGTTTTAAACATGTGGAATAATCAGCTGAATTCCTCTTGCAGACAGTTACGGCTATAGATAAACGAAAAGAATAAAAACTTGAAGAGATGGATCGCCAGTAAATAAAAAACAAATAATAAGGATAACGTCGACAATTAACTGGCACAATATATTTCGTTTAGAACATACAACGTTTCGACCAGTAATACTGGTCCTTATCAAGTATTAAAAAATTTCCTTTAACAACCCATTAGATGTGACAGCAAAAAATGGGTAACATTGGTAATAATATAAGAATACATGGAGGAACGAATCACTCTGCACAGTAACACATATGGAGTAGATATAAAATATTTTAAAAAGACGTCAATTGTTGTGAAAGGTCGGTAGAAGACTTCGTTCCTCCATGTATTCTTATATTATTGCCAATGTTACCCATTTTTTGCTGTCACATCTAATGGGTTGTTAAAGGAAATTTTTTAATACTTGATAAGGACCAGTATTACTGGTCGAAACGTTGTATGTTCTAAACGAAATATATTGTGCCAGTTAATTGTCGACGTTATCCTTATAAAAAGAATAAACTGGAATTGTCGTAAAATAAAATAGTAGTAATAAAAAATATAACAATTAAGTGAATAATAAGATATAATGTAAGAGATAACTATTTTTTGTTGTTAAATGCGTGTATGTTAGATATTTACATGAACACGATAAGAAGATTTTTGTAATCTTTTTCCTTTTTTCTGTGGCAAATAAATTATGCAATTCATGATATTCGTAAAAATAGGAACTATCACTCGTAAGTATAAACGAAGATATTATTTGCTAAGGCAAACGTCTAACAACGCAAAATAAAATTCTAATAAGATGAAGTAATTTTTCATAACAAAATGATTAACGAATACAGAAAAGTAATTATTATAAGAAACTTCAAATTTTTAGCGAAACTCATGTATGTACAATTTTGTATTAGAATATCTTTTCACTTGTATACTCACTTACATTACATCTCATATTCAAAAGTATATTATATGTCTTTCATTTGAAATTATTTTCACCTTAATTCCATATTGATTTCATCATATGGTAAATTTTTATGTCATTAAAAGAATTGTTGCTGTTGGGCGTAGATATGCAATAAAATCATTGTAACAATAAATGTAACAAATGTATCTTGAATAAAAACTTACGAAGCGTAGATTCTCCAGTTGATTGTGAGAAAAATCCGAATGCCGTAACGCTGAATATACTGAGAGCGTAGAGTAACACGTTCATTGTTTAGTTTTCCAGCAAACAGGTTGATCGACTATGATTGCAGAGTCTTATATAATTTCTGTTCACAAGGCCGTATGATAAAATCAAATGATGTTAATAGGCATAAATATGTCAATGATGTAAAGAAGATATATAAATGAGTTAGAATTAAAGGAACGTGTACTATTTCTATGATTTAAAAATATACTATGATCTTATAAATCTTTTAAAATGTGAAATATTATTTGTACATATATGTAATATATTTATTGTACATTATGTATATGTATACTAATTTCTAACTTAAATAGAAACTGGTTCTGAATAAATGTGTTATTATACTATATCTAGTGGGAAATTTAAACATAGTGTAATTCGCATAATACTAGCATGCTTAAAATTGAAATATCAATAAGAATTAATAAAATGTACAGGAGAAATGAAAATATAGATTACAAATTTATTTATTTATGTGTCTGTTATTAAGTAGTAAAATGTTTAATATTTTACTATTTAACTTTTACTTTAAAGAATCTAAATATTTATTTGGCCCTAACTCTTCCATAATAGAAGAGCAATATTATTCTAACTATTACACAAATCTATCAACAGGAATATAATCATTAATTACCAATTATGCATGATGCAGACGCAAAATAAAAGAACCTTTTCTTATCTGATATTATTTAAATATTGTTATATTTACAAAGATCGCAATAGCATTTGCAGTACTTACAGCTTGTACACACGGTGTTCATTTATGCACGCGTTGATAAATTTATTCACAATAGAAAAACGCAAATTAAATGTTTCGTAAGGATATCTTTTTAAAATACTAAAAAATAATAGCGATTATAATTGTCTGCACATACGATATCTGCAATGAAACTGATTGCGACACTCATATTTCTTGGGATCGTGATAAATTTTTTCTTTGTCCGACCTTTAGGCCGAGGCTACAATAGATTTAGTAAATCTTAAGCCGTAAGAAATTGACCAATCACAGTAGGAAGGAAAATAATCACCTGTTATTGATCAATTCTTTACGGCTTAAGGCTTACTACACCTATTGTAGATCCGGTCTTATTTATAAGTAACTTTTGTTTAATTTCATCTTCATGCAGTTTTATACCGATTTTGTACAATTAATTCTTTAAAAGAGTATCTAAAAGCATTGACAGAGATTCAGCACATGACTGTCTTATTAAAATATATAAAAAATTTTATAAGAAATACTTGACTCATATGTTTTTCCGCTATGCATAATGCAAGCATTATAACGCAGTATGCACTATATCATCTTGTAATGTAATGATTTTATAAGTATCTCAAGAGATTATAAATACACTAGACTTATATAATATCTGTTGTAATCAATAAACAATTATTAATATATGCTCACATGTAAGATGGAAGAAGTCAATATCTCAACTATTATGCTATTCATTGTTCCAACGATGTCATTTTATTTTTATAAAGTGACTGCATTGTACTTTGCTTGACATAAAAAATGTCAGATACTTAATGTATTGCGTTAATATACATAGTATATTTAATATTTTCATTAATGACTCATTATTTTGTTAACGTAAACAAGAAATTTAGTAATCGTTTAATGCGAAATGATTATATTATTTGACCGAATGTGCTTTATGTTTTTAATTACTGAATTTTATTAATTATTTGCCATACCATAAAAAATAGTTCAATGTATGTTCAATAATTCTTTACAAATTTTTATTAATTTTATAAAAAATGCTGCAAGTTTTGTAAGTACTGAAAATATATATGTATATGTATATGCTCACTGAGGTCAGATAATATTTTCCTGTTAAATTTTAGTTTAGGTTTTTAGTTAATATAAAAAACAATCTTTAACTGTTTATAAAACTATTCTTTTTAACATTATCTTTTTAACAACAAAAATAAGATTTAATAATGAAAATGTTTTACTACCTGTGATAGATTGCTGCAATAAATAATTGTTAGTATAACTCGTTTATAGCTAATAAAAATGTTAACAAAATCCATAAGAAAAACTAAAAAGTGATAAAAAAATTGACGCTTCTTTTTTATGTAACATGTAAAATACATGAAATCGAGATGTTATGATGACCTTAGATGCATATAAGTTTTTGAATTCACATAATAATAAGATTTGAATTATTAGGCTACCTACATCCTGCTTTGGACCTACATAATATTGTAGTATTCTCGTTGGTTGTTTGATCTTATCTAGGGATCTTATTTTCCTTTATTGTATATAAGTTTTTTCTGCAAGTAAATCTTTAACTAATTGTAAAAATGAAAGAAATCGATGTACGTACATGGTAACACGACGCGTCTTTTGGTTGTTTTGTGCGCCTTTTGACATAAAAATTATTAATTATTTTTATTGATAATTGCATATTTAATAATAAAAAGTAAGAGAAGATATTACTAAAGTTAATATTTTAAGTCACTACATATATTTTATTTGCACAGACACTGAAGTAAGTGTTCGAACATTAAAGTTTAACCAGAAGAAGTCCTTTTTATCTTGTTATATGTATAAACGTGTATTAATATAATTGCTAATGTAATAAATCGAGATTTTTCTTATTGCATTAAAATTTGTTATGATGTTCAATAAAAAATATCTATGTAATGCACTATGTGTAAAATCGTATGGAAGACTGTCTTTGTAAAAGCAGGAAGAAAACACCGCAGCGAAAGTGGGAGGCTGTCTGGTCACCTAAGAATATGATATTATTGAGAATAATAAATCCTCGAGGATGAGCCGGAATTAATTGCTGGACCGATTGCAAGCAATTTGCGACACTGATTGCAGCGAGATGAGAGAACCATCTTGGGAAAATCTTTTGGACGACGGAAGAGAAGGAAACTGGTGCCGTTATCTTTCTCTCTCATACCTCACCTCTTCTCTCCTTTGAAGCGTGGATTTGAATCTACGTTTTACGGCGCAATTAATTCCCCAAGGAGAGTTGCATTTCTTGCTCCGTCGAGGCAAGGAAAGGGATTTGCGAACGGCAAGGTTTCCGGGGTCCCATAGGAACTTGGCAACCGGACAAGGACGCAGCGAGTGCTAGGAAGGGAAAAAACAAGAGGGAGGGATGGATAGAGTCACTGGGTTGCGGAGGGAAAAGACCAACGAGGTGATGGCAAACCGTTCTATAGGGTTAAGGGATACACGATGTCTCCACGACGGTATTATCGACGACCGCTAAACGTCTCGCTTTATCCCTGAAGAGTCCTCTAAAGTTAATGATTTAAACCCGTCTCCCCTGTTGATAGGATTCATTTTTTTGGGATTGGAAAAAAACAATAAATACATAAACGATGAATTTTTTGCGATTGAAAAATACCGATGACGAGATGCGCATTTTATCATTTATACTAGACAACCCAAGCGTGCAATTTGCTCTCTAAAAATTCGCATGGTTTGACAGCTGCAACTAACACGACTGAAGCGTGTCGTATCGCACAAGCGAGAAAGCTAATCAGCATCTCGGAAAAGCGACAACAATACTTCGAGACTTTCGACTGTCGACTTAATACGCCTTTTTTTTTACTAGCACGCAGCGCGCGCTGACGCGCGCGCCTCAACTACTTTCCATACTTATTTCTTTATTACACATTTCTTCTTTTTTGTTTAAAAATGTATTGGTAATTTTCTTTGTGTCCCTGATGGTCGAAGGTAAATTAAGTTACGGAATTTTCACGAGACACTAAATGCCAAAAATTCCCCTAAGTTACGATTCATTTATTGGATTACCCTATCGGGAAACACGGCTGTAGCAAAGGTATCATTTCATAATTTAGACTACCGGAATTGAGCGTGTCGAAGGGATTAAATCATTCAATAGCGACACTCGCCGCTCTCATGAAAGCATCTCGTATGAGAGTTGCGCTTTTCTCGCGGCGATTCCCGTATAATTTGCAATTCAGAAGATTTCTATATCCGCGCACGGATTCGCCGGAGACCTGTATTAGATAGCAAAGTCTTGGTGCCTGCCCTTTGCCAAGCTCACGTCGCAGCTTCGGGGACAAACGGGATGTGTACGGGACGCGTCACCAAAGGAACTTCTTATTCGCGCGAGGAGAAGTGCCGTCGACGGAGCCGCTTTTCCTGCCCGCTAGGGAAATCCGATACGAAGTCTATCCATGTATATTTGAGGACCTGCGGCGTTACTCGGTAGAGCATGTTGCTCGCAAAGCGGACAGAACTCTCCCGACCTATTTACAGTTATTCGGCCTGCCGTCGGCCTGCCCAAGATTTTGATCGGTCTATATTTCTATAATACAACAAGCACGAGATTTTGTGGAATTACACACAGTTTGTGCATTAGTTTACGTACCTTGAGTTTACCAGGATATAGAGTTTACATTGACATACGTCTTAAAGGATACATAAATAAAATATATCTTACACAAAGATATAAAATAAGCTATGATAATATAATATAAGATATATAAATGTAATAGATAAATATAATATATTATACATATAATGAGAGATATGAGACTCGTTTAAGTCGGAGCAATATATAATATTGGGAACTTTATATTTTTTTAGTAGGAGGAAATCTTCTAAGTCGTCAGAAATAAGTAAAAACTTCGAAAGACTACTTGAGCATGTCTGGCAAATTTTTATGTTTGAACTCACAATGTTTTGACCATGGTTTGTGGTCCTTTTCAAGTGATCTAACAAAGACACGGAAAATCTAAATTCCATCTATGACCGTATTATAGCTATAACTTAAATCTCAGTTAAACATTTTTGTTCGTACACTTGACTTTCTCATGTTTGCAATGCCTTTTTCAAGGAACTCTAGAAACACTTACAATTAGTCATGTTCTGCCTTTCGTGAAATCATGACCTATTCCTTCGATTTACTACACTGAATTTTTGACACAATTGTAAGTTGCTCTCTCTCTTTACATCAAATATATCTCTCTCGCTCTTTGTTCCTTCTGTGTGCAACACGACACTTTGCGTTAACCTCCAATAAAGTTATGCGTATAAATACCTGAGTTGAAACACGACTTTGACACAACCAGGTT